CAACGGGGTGAGCTCCCATTGCTCGGTCCCTGCTCCTGCCAACCTAGCAGTTCGGAAGCACGTCAAAGTGCAAGTAGATAAGTAGGTACCGCTCTGGCAGGAAGGTAAATGGCATTTCCGTGCGCTGCTCTGGTTCGCCAGAAGCGCCTTAGTCATGCTGGCCACATGACCCGTAAGCTGTACACCGGCTCCCTTGGCCAATAAAGCGAGATGAGCGCCACAACCCCAGAATCGGTCACGACTAGACCTAATGCTCAGGGGTCCCTTTACCTTTTTAAGGTAGTCTCTATGGAAGTATATTGTATTTAATTATGGGGTATCAGAGTTTTTAGGGGGCTAACCAGGCTGGGATAGCAGGCATGTTGGTTTCTGAATGTCTGATGTAGATTTCGTTGTTCTGCATGGGACAATGACAATAAAGATTATTGTATCGTATCTGGCATGGCGGTCGTTGACTGGCAGTGTGTGTTGGAATCAAACCTTGTTTTGACAGTGTGGGTGGGAGAGTTTGGACTGGCAAAACCCAGAACTAGAGCGGAACCAGGAGTGGGGGACGATGCAAAATTCCTATTTAAGCCTAGATTGTCCTTCCTTCGGCTTTCTTCGCACCCTGCCCTCCGAAAGCGTAATGACCTTATTCTTAAGAGTCTTGTGGCCAGGGCTGTGTGTGTGTTAAAGTCTGTGAGATGCGCCAGTATTTGGGGGTGATGGGCCTTCATCTTTCCACATGGCTAGCGACTTGGGTCTATCAAAGCCATCAATCGCCCTCTCCTCCAATAATCCGTTTGATCCTCTCTTAAAGCCATCGGGCCTGGTGACCTTCGCTGCCTAGTTTAACTATGTGCCAGCCTTCATATACTGGGTGGATGTGGATTGCAGAAAAACAAAAACCCAACACACAACTTGCTTTAGAGATAATACAATTGTTGAAGCTGCACATTCCCAGCGTAATTTTCAGTTAACTTAATTTACTCATCCTCTCAATATCATTTTTTGTTTACAGTTTGTCTGTAAATATTCAACAAACCATTTCCGTTCTTTTATAAAAAGTTTGTTACCTTGATTTCTTATTTTTTCGGTAAGTTTCGCCATTTCTGTGTATTCTGTAAGTTTTTGTATCCATTCTTCTTTTGCTGGAACTTCTTCTTTCCATTTTTGGGCAAATAACATTCTTGCCGCCGTACATGAATAAATTTCTATACAGTTTGGGCAGTTCTGCACCTATAATTCCCAAAAGGAATTCCTTTTGGCAATTAATTAAACATTTCAACCTCCACAGCTGAAGCCTGGGCATGCCGAGAGCACTGATTGAGGAGCATCGTGGCGCACGCTTTAGAGATGCGCAGAACCTGCGTCTCTTCGGTGCTGAACGTTCAGAAAGCACGGCGGGTAAAGAAAAAGAGAAATCCACGTTGAACGCATTCATTTTTAAAGCTCTGCCCTATATATGATGAAGGCGGTTAAATGATTCAAACAAGTCTGTTCAGATGGGCCAGCTCTGCGGTAATGAATAATGAAGAATATTTTGCAATTAGATAGCACTCTCAAATGTTCAAAGCGATTCTGGAGCGTTATCTTAGGAACCCACACAAACAGAGCCCTCTGAGCCGAGACGTTAAATCTGAGCAAAATATAGGGCGTCTTCCCTGCTCCCGAGGAAAATGTCTCACCTGCAGATGCTGCCCTTTCTGTCTTCCCCACAACAGCAGCCCTCATCACCATTCTTTCCCTCTCTCTGGCCCCATTACTTTTCTCTCATATACAGTGGTACCTCGGGTTAAGTACTTAATTCGTTCCAGAGGTCCGTTCTTAACATGAAACTGTTCTTAACCTGAAGCACCACTTTAGCTAATGGGGCCTTCTGCTGCCGCCACGCCGCCGGAGCACGATTTCTGTTCTCATCCTGAAGCAAAGTTCTTAACCTGAAGCACTATTTCTGGGTAAGCGGAGTGTGTAACCTGAAGTGTATGTAACCTGAAGCGTATGTAACCCGAGGTACCACTGTATATAAGTTTTACATAACAAATTTAAATTCAAACACAGGATTCACCTCTTCATTTAAATAATAATTATAATTATAATTATAATTATAATAACAGGGCTGCATTCTAATGTCTTTTAAAGAGAAGATAGCTGCTTATTTCCTTCACATCTGAAGGGAGGGCATTCCACAGGGCGAGTGCCACCACCGAGAAGGCCCTTTGTCTGGTTCCCTGTAACTTGGCTTCTCACAGGGAGGGAACCACCAGAAGGCCCTCGGCGCTGGACCTCAGTGTCCGGGCTGAATGATGGGGGTGGAGATGCTCCTTCAGGTATAGTGGATTGAGGCCGTTTAGGGCTTTAAAGGTCAGCACCAACACTTTGAATTGTGCTTGGAAACGTACTGGGAGCCAGTGTAGGTCTTTCAAGACTGGCGTTATGCAGTCTCGGCAGCCGCTCCCAGTCACTAGTCTAGCTGCCGCATTCTGGATTAGTTGTAGTTTCTGGGTCACCTTCAAAGGTAGCCCCACGTAGAGCGCATTGCAGTAGTCCAAGCGGGAGATAACCAGAGCATGCACCACTCTGGCGAGACAGTCCGCGGGCAGGGAGGGTCTCAGCCTGCGTACCTGGTGGAGTTGGTAAACAGCTGCCCTGGACACAGAATTGACCTGCGCCTCCATGGACAGCTGTGGGTCCAAAATGACTCCCAGGCTGTGCACCTGGTCCTTCAGGGGCACAGTTACCCCATTCAGGACCAGGGAGTCCTCCACACCAGCCCACCCCCTGTCCCCTAAAACAGTACTTCTGTCTTGTCAGGATTCAACCTCAATCTGAGCTTTGCGTCAGCATCGTTCTATATCTATACATTTATTTATTTTCCGTTGTTATTGCGAGAAATTAGGAGGGTTCTGGACCTTGGTTGGTTGCGTTCAGTTGACTTCAGCGCAGCTTGTTTGTATGTGTGTAGGGGTGGTTGTGGTTTTAGTAGGTTGTTGGGTCGGGTTAGCCATATTGATCTGCATGCTTTTGTGTGTGGGGGGGGGGGGAGAAGCATAGGTTGTCACCTTGTTGTGCTGTGATAAAGGGGAACCGTACCGTCGTGTGCAGATTGGCTCACTTCCTCAAGTCATTGCAAAGGGAGTTACAATGGTACCTTGGTTCTCAAATGCCTTGGTACTAAAACAACTCAGAACCCAAACACTGCAAACTCGGAAGTAAGCGTTCCAGTTTGCAAACTTTTTTCAGAAGCCGAACGTTCTCCATTTTGAGTGTTACGCTTCTGATTTGAGTGCCCCACTTCCGTTTTGAATGTTACGCTGAGGTCTGTTTGTTTTTGCTATTTATTTTGCCTTTTTGTTTTTGCGGCTCTTTTTGTTTTGTTTTTGTGACTGTGTGGAACCCAGTTCAGCTACTGATTGATTGATTGATTGTGTGACTGCGGTACATTGTTTATTGCTTTCATTTTATGGATCAATGGTCTCGTCTGATAGTAAAATCCATGTTAAATTGCTGTTTTAGGGGTCTTTTTTAAAACTCTGGAACGGATTAATCCGTTTTGCATTACTTTCTATGGGAAAGCGCGCCTTGGTTTTGGAACGCTTTGGTTTTGGAACAGACTTCCGGAACGGATTAAGTTTGAGAACCAAAGTACCACTGTATTTGTTCCCTGAGCACCTTGCTGGAGTGTGAGATGCTGTCATTTGGACTCTGTAGACTGGTCACAAGGTGTGTGTGACCTGCCTTGTTTTGGGGCGCCTAGTGAGTTGGGTGATGGTCTCCTACCCTTCCATTTCTGTGATCAGAGCTTCTCCAGCCCTGAGCCAAAGAGCAGAACCCACCCTAAGCTTCTGAAAGGCCCTTTGCAGCGTTCGTCCGCATCTGCAGAGCAGCTGTTCTGGATGAAGGCCACTTTTAAAAGATGTTTTATTTCCTGCTTCTGTTCAGCGTTGGCATTGTACTTTTTAAACGTTTAGGTTTTCAATTTTAAGTGTGTCTTCTGCAATTTCCTGAGTCCCCTTTTCACCACATAGGAGAGCAGCTTCTAGGAGTAAATATTTGAACTATTTGAAAAGCAATTGTAGTAAGCAGATTACGCTAGTAGGACTGTAAGAAGCTTTTTAGGCGTCCCCCCCTAAAAAAGCTCAGCAACTCTGCCCCCTCCCAAAAGCTCAACAACTGTTTTGTATGGGACAATGACAGTAAAAATTATCGTGTCGTAACTATGGGCAATCCTCCCCCCCAAAATAGCTCAACAACTTTGGGGAATCTCCCTAGCCCCATTTCCTCATTTCCTAAATTTTGAGTCCCCCCAAATAGGGGGCGTAAATGAGTGTAAATGAGTTTTGATGGATGTAATAATGGGATGGGACGCGGGTGGCGCTGTGGGTAAAACCTCAGCGCCTAGGACTTGCCGATCGCATGGTCGGAGGTTCGAATCCCCGCGGTGGGGTGCGCTCCCGTCATTCGGTCCCCAGCGCCTGCCAACCTAGCAGTTTGAAAGCACCTCCGGGTGCAAGTAGATAAATAGGGACCGCTTACCAGCGGGAAGGTAAACGGCGTTTCCGTGTGCTGCGCTGGCTCGCCAGATGCAGCTTTGTCACGCTGGCCACGTGACCCGGAAGTGTCTCCGGACAGCGCTGGCCCCCAGCCTCTTGAGTGAGATGGGCGCACAACCCCAGAGTCTGTCAAGACTGGCCTGTACGGGCAGGGGTACCTTTACCTTAATAATGGGATACTGAATGGTACAGTTTTTGTAAAATATGCAGGGATTTTATGAAATGCAAAATGAACCGTGGAAGGAGAAGAAGGGAAGTCATCGATATCTTAAGGATGTGACAATGAGTACTTCAAATTGTAAAGCAGAAAATTTAATAAAATAACATACAAAAAAAGAGAAGCATTTCTGGGTCTGGGCCAATGGCTGGGCGAGAGGTCACCTGGGGACGCCAAGGGCTGCAAGCACGACACTGATCCCAACCAGCTTCTAAACGTTTTCCTGTGCTTCTTTTTTCTTTCCCCAGGCTGGAATGGGTGGAAATCATCGAGCCTCGGACGCGGGAGCGCATGTACGCCAACCTGATCACGGGGGAGTGCGTCTGGGACCCCCCCGCCGGCGTGCGCATCAAGCGCACCAACGAGAACCAGTGGTGGGAGCTCTTTGACCCCAACACCTCGCGCTTCTATTACTACAATGCCTCCACCCAGCGGACCGTCTGGCACCGGCCCCAGAACTGCGACATCATCCCCCTGGCCAAGCTCCAGACCCTGAAGCAGAACACCGAGTCCCCCCGGGCCTCCACCGAGAACAGCCCCGGGCGCAGCAGCAATGTCAGCCGCGAGGGCAGCACCAGCTCCTCCCAGGAGCAGGAGCCGGAGGGCGGCGGGGAGAAAGCGCAGGACCAGGGCCGGACCCACCGACAGCCCTCCCAGTTCGCCACCGTCAAAGAAGAAACGGAAAGGTAACCTTTGCTTTGCGGCGGAAGCCACAGGTCTCTGGTTTTCGGGGCTTGGCAGCGCGGCCTAGTGGGTGGAGCTGTCTGAGCAGAGCCTGGCCGTGCTCTGAACTCTGCCCAAGGACCCTGCGGAGCAGGGAGGAATATGAGATTTGGCTGGTGGGAAGGGCGCAGTTAGGTGTTTTTAATTTTCTTTTCTTGTTTTCGCACACTCCTCCACTGTTTGCAATCCGAAGCTCGCTTCATCCCCCAAAAAGTTTTTGATTTGAGTTTCTACTGAAATGAGGCTGCATTTTAATGTTGTACAGTGGTACCTCGGGTTGCATACACTTCAGGTTACAGACTCTACTAACCCAGAAATAGTACCTCCGGTTAAGAACTTTGCTTCAGGATGAGAAATCGCGCGGCAGCGGTGCGAGGCACCATTAGCTAAAATGGTGCTTCAGGTTAAGAACAGTTTCAGGTTAAGAACGGACCTCTGGAATGAATTAAGTCCTTAACCCGAGGTACCACTGTACTTTAATCTTGTTTTTAAGTTGTATTTTAATCAATTGTTTTTATCCATGGTGTTAGCTGCCCTGAGCCCTGAGTCTTGGCTGGGAAGGGCGGGGTATAAAAAATTATTATTATTATTATTATTATTATTATTATTATTATTATTAATGTTATTATATCTGCTCTGCAGTTTGCTTGGGGTGGGGGTTGCTGCGATTGCTCTGCCAGTCTCAGGATGGCACAGATGGGGAATTTGTAACCCGGCAGAAGTTCTTGGACTGCAACTCCCACCAGCCTCGGCCAGCAGTCGGGGTGATGGCAGTTGTGGTCCAGCAAATGTCTGGATGGTCCCTGCCTTAGAGACTTCTAGCCACAATGAACCAACAGGGTCTGACTCTGCATCCATAGGCTTCACCCTGCCTTGCCTGTCTCTCCTGCTCCCTCTCTTTGTATCTTCCTTCCCATGTGAGTTTCTGAGCCTCCCCAAAACCTTTCCTAGTCTTTCCTACTCCCCCCCCCCGCCTCCATCCTGTCCTTCCTGGAATCTCCACCCTGCGAGGATTTTCACCTGCATCTCTCCAGTGGGATAGTTCCGAATCGGCGGCACATGCCCTTCTGACTTGCACTCTTCTAAAGACTCAAGGAATGAGGTTATCACCCCTCTTTTATTGTCCATTCCGGGTCACCCAGCCACTGCCACGGCGTCCTTTCTCTTGGCAGATCAAGGTGAGCAGGTGACAGCAAAGGTTGCAAGGTTTTCAGCAGGGGGAATCAGAATAAGATCCACTATGCGACTGTTGATTCAAAACCCTAAAATATATTTTATATGCCGTATTTTTTGCCCTATAGGATGCACCGGCCCATAGGACGCACCTAGATTTTTTTGGGGGGGGGATAAAGGAATTCCCCCCCTTTATTTCCCCCTCCCCCAGCCCCCAGAACGGGTCCCAGATGCGCAGCTTCGGCATCGCTCTGGGAGCTTGCGCGGCTGGGGGAGGGGGAGCCCGTCCCCAGCCTCCAAACCGCGTTGGGAGACAGCGGGATGGCAGCGTTCCGCCTCCCCGCTGTCCCCCGAGCTTGTGGGGCTGGCTCTGGGGCTCTCCTGAAGCCTGGAGAGCGAGGGGGGTCAGTGCGCACCGACCCCTCTCGCTCTCCAGGCTTCAGCGAAAGCCTGCATTCGCCCCATAGGACGCACACACATTTCCCCTTCATTTTTGGAGGGGAAAAAGTGCGTCCTATAGGGCGAAAAATATGGTAATTGACTTTTTATTTCTATTATTTGTATGTTGTATTGCGGTTTTATTGCTATGGCCGGTGGCTGACGCAAATAAAGATTCACTCATTCATTCATTCCTTCTCTAGTGGGATCCAAGACGCCAGGGTCCCCTGTTTGGCAACAGCGGGCCTTGTCTCTGAGGCAGTGCAAAGCTAACTGGAATGCAGGCAGGAGACTTTAATCTTCTGCGCAGATGGCCCTGCTCCCTCCTCGCACCGCCTCCCCCTTTTGCAGGCTGCAGCAGTTTCCTGAAATACACAAGGAAGAGGTGATGGTTGTTTTCCCGTTCTCAGTTGATGCCGGCTGGTGCATCACAGCTCTGCCCAGGCAAGGAGAGCGTCCTCAGAGCAGGCTGTGGTGAGACACAAAAGCTAGAGTGGGTTTTCCGGAGGCGACTGAGAAAGAATATCTTGCAAAAACCCCGGTCGCTGCAGCCTCAGAGCCACAGCGATCTGGATACGGAAGGAGGACTTCCTTCTCGCTAATTTGAGCCGGAGTACGGCATCTGAGCCGCGCAATCCGCTTGAGACGGCGCACAGTGATCATTAATATAATTAATAATAGCAATTAGCCGATCAGTGTCAGTAGTAATTAAAGATCAGCTGGGAGGAGGCAACAGGTGGCTTTCCGCGGGGGTCTTCCCCTGTGCCCAACAGGGTTGCCGTGATTGCTTAATTACATCTGAAGAAGTGCGCGTTGCGCCCCCGGCAGGAGCAAAGTTGATCTTGCGGGGCAGGGGGAAAGGGGTGCACTCGGGCGCAAGCGCAGCGTTGGCAGAGAATCTGGTCTACCTGTGTGCCAAATCTGAAGAAGTGTGCATGCACACGAAAGCTCATACCAAGAACTAACTTAGTTGGTCTTTAAGGTGCTACTGGAAGGAATTTTTTTTGTTTTGACTATGGCAGACCAACACAGCTACCTGTCTGTAACTGTGTGCCAAATGGTTGGGATTTGTAGGAACAGAGGACGCCAGCCTGGGGGCAGCTGCAGGGTGCTGCTGGTCAGGCCAACCCGCAAAAAATCAGGAAGCAGCAAAGGCAGCGGTGTTTGCAGGGGTGCAGCCCCGCTGTAAAATCCTCACCGTGTCATAGTTCCTGCTGAGTTGCCTCTGAAACGGCCTCCGTTCCTCTTTCTAAGGCGCATCTTGGGATTTGACTTATCTCCCTTGGCGCATTCCACTTCATGCGATGGCTGGTGCTTGATTCATTTCATAAAATTTCTATGCCCCTTGGTTGCAGAAAACACCTCAAAGCAGTTTACAGAAAAACAAAACAAAACAATAAGAATAAGAAAAATAACAATGATTTGACAAAGGGTTGAAATAGCAATGGACTAGAAACAGATTGAAACTCAACCCAAAACCTGGGTAGGCTTGCCTGAACAAAAATGCTTTTAGCAGGGGCTGAGAAGAATACAGTGACGGATGTTGTGACGTGGGGTTTGTGATTTCAGCTCTCTTGACATAATATGCTGGAGACAGTTCTCTAGTAACACTTCTTTATTAAGCAACAAGACTGAGACCTGAGGAGGGGAAAGCTACATTTATAGGGACAGGGAACTAGCTAGAAAGGATACATTTTGGAGGGAACAATATCAGGCAATCACAGTCCTGCCTTCTGGAGGAAACCAATAAGACAGAGGATCCAAATACAGCAGCTTAAATGAACCAATAGTAGCTGTACCCTCTGGAACCAAAAGGCAGTTACTTTACCCTAATGCAATACAGACAATAATAATACAGACATAAAATCCTTTGACTCAATACACAACAACGGAACCTGCCTGGTCTCCATAGGCTGGGAGTTCCAAAGTTCCGGGGCTGCCACGCTAAAAGATGAATCTCTTATAAATGTGGAGCGGATATTATGAGGCACCTGTAACGCTGCCAGTTCCCCTAATCAAAGCAGTCAAGTGAACATCTGTGGGGTCAGTTGTTGTTGTTTAGTCGTTTAGTCGTGTCCGCCTCTTCGTGACCCCCTGGACCAGAGCACGCCAGGCCCTCCTGTCTTCCACTGCCTCCCACAGTTTGGTCAAACTCATGCTGGTAGCTTCGAGAACACTGGCCCACCATCTCGTCCTCTGCCGTCCCCTTCTCCTTGTGCCCTCCATCTTTCCCAACATCAGGGTCTTTTCCAGGGAGTTTTCTCTTCTCATGAGGTGGCCAAAGTCTTGGAGCCTCAGCTTCAGGATCTGTCCTTCCAGTGAGCACTCAGGGCTGATTTCCTTCAGAATGGAGAGGTTGGATCTTCTTGCAGTTCATGGGACTCTCAAGAGTCTCCTCCAGCACCAGAATTCAAAAGCATCAGTTCTTCGGCGATCAGCCTTTCTCCATCTCCTAAATAGTTTTCTTTTAGGGCTTTTCCTCCTGTCTTCCTGTTTGTGGTACATTCAGCCTGATTTGTTTCCAGAAAACTTAAGGTGGAAATTAGACTCTGCCTGGTCTTCATTGCGCATTTGTTCCGTTTCGCTTGCTGGGCGGTTACACGACCATGATTTGTTTGCTGTGTGTTCACAGGTCTTTCCAGTGACGCACCCTTTCACCGCACACTTGGCAATGCATGTCCCCATCTCCTTCCTCACTGCAAAAACACATTCTCCCCCCCCAGCAAGTTGGATGTGTCGGGGCGACAGAGCATTTTAATTACGCAAATGTATATTTCTGATAGGGACGCGGGTGGCGCTGTGGGTTAAACCAGTGTTTCCCAACCTTTTTTGGGCAAAGGCACACTTGTTTCATGAAAAAAATCTCGAGGCACACCACCATTAGAAAATGTTTAAAAAATTAACTCTGTGCCTATATTGACTATATATAAAGTAACTCTCTTTAATAGGAATCAAATAAACACAAAGAAAGTATTTTATAATTACTTTATTATGAAATAGTAAGTAAACAGAAATATGAAAAATTATAAAATACTTGATTCAGTGCGCAACCTGGGCCTGTTTGGCTGAACACAAAGCTGATATTCTGGCTGGAATCTTTCCCAAATAAATTTTATTTATACCCCGCCCTCCCCAGCCAAGACTGGGCTCAGGGCGGCTAACAACAAATTAAAAAACAAGTCGATTGAAATATAATAAATAATAAAAAATAAGTCGATTGAAATAAAAACAATAATAAAAAACAAGTTGATTGAAATAAAAAAAACCAATAATAAAACAAGTTGATTGAAATATAACTTAAAAACAAGATTAAAATACAACATTTAAACATCAAAATGCGGTTGAGTTGCAG